ATTAATTAAAAGTTTAACCGCGAATACCTTCGAACGTTTCTGTTGATGCGACAGAAGAATATGCGCAATATACTTTGCATTATTACTATTATTATTTCCAGTGCATGTTGTATTTGTCCTTGAGATTTTAGCCCGCCCAGGGGGTAGCCACAGGGGGTAGCCACAGGGGGTAGCGAGAAATTACTATTGCTAATGAAGAAAAGTAAACGGCGACTTTTGTAAAGCTGATTGTCTTAATACACTTTAATCCCCGTATGTATGGATCTATATGGCTTTATGTCTTCATTTGATATGTGGATGTGAAAGCTTCCTTCTAAGTTCATGCTGTTGTTGAAAAAAGGGAAAAGAAATGAAGCAGAAAACACGACATAATTTTTGTTTTTCTTACCGTTTTCGGGAACAACACAATGTCAGCGTTTTCCTTTATGCCGGGACGATAAATGACGTTTTACTTAAAAAGTCGTTTACAGTAGTAATTCTCTTTTAGCGCTTTACACCTAGTTGTAGCCGCATTTTTATATTTTGATGTGAATTTAAAAAAAAAATTTTTTTCAGAACAAACTATTTGATTAAATCACATTTAGTGGGCGGCTGGCGGATGCCCTGGTTTGGTTTGCTATTTATTTCCTGTCAAACATAATATATCACATTTATCCCCCTTCCATTCTTGTTACTCTCTTGCAATACCTCAAATCTTTGGAACTTATAAAACCTAATTGAGTATGTACCGTAAAACTCTAAGTAAAACAAAATTATTTTTCTCTGTCACCGAACTTTGACATGACGGCAGTTTTCAAACCCTACATAGGAACTGTATAAACTTACTCGTTTTTACCTCTCTTTAGAAGTATGTGAAAGATCATAATATATTATTATAGATTGTTATAGACTTATTTTGTCGAATACTGCACTAGCTTGTTGAAACTGTTCCCCAAGGTGCACCCTCTCCCCCTCCCCCTCCCCCTCCAAAAATGAGAACAAAATAATGATGACGATGCTGCTGCTGCTGATGATAATGGTAATGAGTAAAATATTTAGGATTACGACGATGATGATGTTGACAGTTATTGTTTGGCTTTTCTCCGTCTGCACATACACGACATGGGTTCGATGTCCATATTATTTATTAATTAATCTTTAAGATTTTATTT